GGGGGGGGGGAGGGGGAGGGGGGGGGGAGTGTGGAGTTGGGTTTACAGGAGAGGTAGAGCTGGGTGTCATCCGCGAAGCAGTGGAAATGGATGTTGAATGTGCGAAGAAGAATGTGGCCAAGGGGGAGGAGCTATGTGATAAAAAGAAGGGTGCCCCAGGACAGAGCCCTGAGGCACACCTGTGTAGGAGATCAAAGTCAAGTTTAAACGGATCAGGAAACAGCAAGTGTGGGAAACGGGAGGGCCTACCTGAAGTTGTATCCTGATGTGACTGAGTTGTTTAGGTTCATGTCTAAGCGGGTGAAGCTGTACTCTGGATTGCACTGTGAGTAGTCCTTATCCAAGTCACAGTTCCACTCTATGAGGATGCCCACAGACCCACCCTAAATGATAAGAATACGATCATGAAAGTGAATTACTTGTCAATGTGACACAGAGCATCACTGCACACGCAACGAAATGTGACCTTTTTAAGTACCCGCGGGGAGCATTGTGGGGATGGTGCCATGTTCAGAACACCTCAGTAGTAACTTAGCAGCTTGTGGACTCGAACCTGAAGCCTTCCAGACTCAGGTCCGCTTCCTTAACCACTGAGCCACCACTGCCCGAGGGTAGTGGGTCAAAGATAAAATTGAGAGATTGTTTTAAAAACGATACTAATTCCGCAGGTTTGAATTTCATATACAGTCCTATAATTTTTTGCAAGATAATGATTAAGAATCATTATCTGTTTTTCTTCAGATAATGAAAACCCGATAATGCAGTGCCGGAGCTCAGATGATGTGACCTGAAAATAGTTTTGAAGTAAAAGTGAAACTATTACCGTAATTTCCGGACTATAGGCCGCTACATTTTTTTTATACGCCTTGAACCTGCGGCTTAAACAATGATGCGTCTAACTTATGGATTTTTTTTTTACGGTCTAACGAGGTTCATACCGCTAGTGATTAATGACTTGGTAGGCTACTATCTGTTATACTAGTAGCGTATGTACTGTATATGTGCGTGGGGTGCAAAAGTTGAGAGCAGTTTGAGTCCTAGAAATTGTTTGGATATCGGCATATTGGATATTGGCAAAAAGTTCATGTCAGACAATTTGCTGCACACAGGCAATGGAGGAGCGTTTGGTGTTTGTTCAACAAACCACAAGTACTACTGTATGTGGGATTTGAACTGGCATCTTTCTGACTACATGCCTGAACCTGTGAGCACTAGGTTTTGTTTTTCAGTCAATCTTTAAATCGCATTAGAAGTGGATTTCTGTCAGCACTTAAGTTTCCACTCTGCCCTCTAATCCAAGCGTGAGCAAACCTTTTGACTCGCGGGCCACAAAAGTGTCCTAAAATCGAACAGGGGGGGGCCAGGTCAGGAGCAGATAGATTGAGCGTTTGTGTGAACTAAGATAAATGACATGTAAAAGTCCTGCATAGAGGCTAAAATAATTTATCATTTTCGACGCCATTTATTTGGGAAATGTGGGTATTGCAGGGAAAAGGCAGAAGTATAATGATAATATAAATAAATAATATAATATGGAAAAGTTTGGCAGGCCGGATTAAAAAGCTAAACGGGCCGCATCGGGGCCCCCGGCCTTAGTTTGCCCCTAATCAATCTGATACTTTTTTTTTTTAAATTCTTGTCCAAAAACATGTTTTTTTTAGAATAAATTCGTCTGCTCTAATCAATCTGATACTTTTTTTTAAAATTCTTGTTCAAAAACATGTTTTTTTTAGAATAAATTTGATAGGAATTTTTTAGGGACAAAATAGAGATTTTATTTCCTGGTTTTAATATTAGTGTGTTCTGACAATCTTTGTGGTGCAGCATGAGGACTTGGTACCTTTATAGCAATATCCTGGAAGTCATGTCCTGTCCTGCTGACCAAATCTCCCAAACGAAAGATAGGACAATAAGGATGATTCTCTGAGTCGAATGAGCATCTCTTTAGGTAATCTTCATCTGAGGTCTCCAGAACATTGGACCTAATAAAACAAGACAACACTTGACCTCATAGAGAAAAAAAATGTTTCCTTGAATATTTTCATACAAATTTGCAAAACAGATGCTCTGTAAAAAGTAATTATAATACACTTATTATAAAACGTAAATTAAGACTTTTGATTATTCAACGTGGACAAAGCGACAGCCATCGCTGCTTGGTAATTTAAAAACAAAAATCAAAGGGTGTGATCCCGACCTCACTATTTATACACCAACTAATGTTGTAGTTCTGTAGTTTATGCAGAACTACAAGCACTGTTCTCTGCATGTAACTGGGGCGTAAGCATGTAAGTGGCGGCTTAGTGTTTAAGGAAGCACACTTTCTTCCAGAAGGTTTCAGGTTCAAGTCCGCCAGCTGCCAAGTTACCAGTGAGGTGCTGTGAACATGGCACCTTCCCCACACACTGCTCCGCGGGCAGCTCAAAGCTGCCCACTGTTCACTTTGGTGATGGGTTAAATGCAGAGGTCAAATTTCGTCGCGTGTCACAATGTCACAATGACAAGGAGTGCACTTTCCTTTCCTTCCTTTAACCGAGGCTCACTCTGTCCTTTACCCTAAGCTTTGTCTTTGCTTCCATACTACTACAGACAGCTATTATATATGTGAATAACAATGTCTCGTTTCACAGCCTTCAAATTGTGTTTAGTCCGTTTTCGATGTAATCGGCTCTCTGCTGACCTTTAGTCCTTCCTAAAAACGACTTATAGTCCGAAAGAAACAGTAGTTGAAAATGCAGATTTCACATTAGATTTGAACCCCTTATTACAATACCGTTTCACCTCAACTCTAACTGTCAGGAGAGAATTAAGGATGTGAAGTGTTTTGTGTAACATAAGGTCTTGATATTTTTTATCAATATCCAGACTGACTAATGAAAAAGAAACAGTTTTGTGTCGTCAGCCTTTCTTGTGGATCAGGTTCTGAGAACAGCAGGGGTGGGGGGGCAGCAGATCTCCCTGATCTGACACCTGTCTAAGAGTAAGAACCACTGTCAAGGACATCTCAAATAACTGGTTCACTGTCAGACTGAGTGCAGGGCACAGAATAGTATAAATAGAAGGCTCTCTGCCTTCTGAAGTTATTTAAAGTTGCTATTGGAACGTATAGCGCTGCGTTCTCATGGCGATCAATGTCGTGGAAGTCCATGTTAGCCGTCAGCGTTACTTACTTGGAAAACTCAAACTTTGGGAATCTGATGAAATTCTTGATGTAAATAGTGAAGTTTTCCGCTTCTCTCAGTAAAGGCTCACTGGAAATAACAGAGACAGACACATTTGTTAATATTTGAGAAGGGAAACACAGGAACTGACTCATGAGTAGTAAATAGAACCTGTAAAATATCGGGCTCCTAGTGTCAGTTTCTGACTAACTGTAACTTTCAGCAAGAAAATTGAGGGCTCTTCACCTGGGGCGTCTGCTGTATTCAACTGGACACCAGCCATAGATCTCACAGGTCCCAGTGCTGTTGAAACAAAGGCCGGTCTTGATTCCTGACAGAGAAAGATAACTGGCTGTGTCAAGTCTAGAGAAAGGCCATTCTGAAGAAAGACGGTCAAATGGTCATGGTTGATATCATTATGATTTGACTTTGGTGATTTTCGTCTCTGTTTCATATGTATAGTTAGTTTTT